ACTCTTCATATCAGTAACAAGATATGTCGATTTGCTACATATTCTTTTAAAAAAATCTTTGAAAGACTAAAATGACGAAATTCAATCCATTTATATATTCAATTACTTTTTCGAAAAGAAGTAGACCATGATTACTAAATAGGTGACAATTAATTTTGCCATTATCGTTGAGGCTGTTCATCTGTAAAAGTATTTCAGTGATCCTTTTATGCCCCCTTTTTGCCTCTATAGTGGCTGAATATCCGACTAAACACCTCTATAATCAAGACGGACATGTTGATTTATCTTTGACCTATGAGATTGGAAAAGCAATGCTTTGTATTGTTTTGGGTTCGTTTGAAGCTCCATCTCATGGAAACCACTTATCTGGTTCATTTTTACTGAAAAATAATAAGGGCTCTTTGGCTCTGTACATGGTGGTTCAAGGCATGTCTTTCTCTAGCAATAAAGCTTTCAGCGATTACATGAAATAAATATTTATAAAAGTGCATCCTTCTTACTATAATTTACTCCCCATCAAAATAAAAATACATTTGGAATTGATTTTCATTTTACGCTCTTATCAAAGAGAGCTAGAATTTTCTAGTATCTTTATTTTTTATTATATTTCACATTTTTTTGTATATATGAGATTGCCAGTACAGGTGTTGATAGACTATTCGGACTATTCTACAGCAGTATAAAGTTGACCTATACTTACCTTATAGGGATTAACAGCCGGTATATTTTTACAGGATTTAAAAATAACTTTTATACCTAACCCTTATTTTTTATAATAGAGTTTGTGTCCACAAATTGTTATGCGCCTAAAAGAGTCCCTTTAAGTTGACGTTTGATTCTCCTATAGAAGAAGAAGACATTCGAAGACTGAAATGTTTTAAAGCTTCCCTTTAGCTGTTTACCTACGTCTACTTCTTACAATAAACTATTGTGTAAAATTATCTCTCCAGTAGTTAAGATATATTCGATGACTTATTAATATAATTTTTGTATTTTCGGCTGATATATTTTGTATCATCCCCTGGGACAAATGTATTCGCCCAATGCAAAAAAAATAATCGCTGCAATCTAATTATAATTCAGGGAGTAATTAACAAGCGATGGAGCGTGCCAATATTATACGTTAATAAACTTTGGTTAATTAGAGATACATCTTTAAATACTATTGATTTGCTGAACTTAATTTCAACATATAGAACGGTGCCTTCACTGTTACTTGTTCATACCAATATAAATAATATTTATTTACAATTACAAGCCAATAGGAGTTATGATTATTAAATCTAGTCACGATTATATATTAGTGATCCTTCACTAAATTTTATATTTTACTTATTCTGTATGCATACTAGCTATTACTATTATATTTTACCTTACTATTTGTTTTAATGGATTTTAGATATTATCTCTCAACTAATGGAGACAATACTTTCAAGCTCATTCATTTGACAAACGATATGAATTCTAACTCTTATGAACATGACTTGGTACCATTCCAATTATCAGCAGCTAATGGACAGGATATGCATATAGGTCTTTCAGATGCAGATCAAAACAGCTGGAGTACTCTTAATATGAAGTTTATTGGGTCTGGATCTCCGTTCCTTGGAAAAAGCTCAGATTCAGGTCTTCCTAATGTTCGAACTAAAACGCTAACCGAAGAAAAGAATGGGCCCAACTATGGTGAATCTGGAATGACGGAAGGAAAAATGCAAGCTAAAGAGCATAGGAGAGACTTTGTCGATCCAAATCTACTGACCACGCCCTCTAGACTTTACCTCGAACTCATACGGCCTTTGGATTGGGAGAAACAAAAATTATACGAAATGATGTTGGTTGTAGAGGATAGAGGTGTTCCATCTTTGACAGGAAAAACAGACCTTAAAGTGAGTTTGCAATTCCTAATGGGTTAACCTATATGCAAATATATGTATATATATATATATAACAACTTTGTGATGTTGTCAGGAAAACTCAGTTTGATGCACCTTGTCCGAACTTCTATGATATAGTAAATATAAAAATTCCCAGCGTCGGTCCATAGACTTGGTGCATTTCTAGGCATTACGCCAGCATCGTATACAGCATAGTTAGTGAGTCTTGCCATTCTCAGTACCAAGTTACACTTCGTTAAAGAGATTAGTGAATTGAATCCCCTGCTGAACTTTCTACCAAAACGGTTGTGCTATCACTCCTCTTTCTGTCTCTTAAGGAGGGGAATATAACGAAGTCAGAAGTTTTGATAATGCGGGAGTGTGATAAAGGGGTAGAGAATGGATATAGGGGCCACGACAGAAATATTAGTGATACCATAACCGTTCGGCAGAAGGCTGGTCAAGGGATGGACTTCACTTGTCTCTTTGAAAAGTTCTAGTTTGGTGCAGAGAATGGCAAGAAGCATTGACGATGTCGATTACAATGCCGCTGAAATGTCTGTGAATGTACAAAGTCTACGGTCCGATTCTAGGAATCAGAATAATTACTATGACAGAGGACTTTAGACAAGTTGCGTCTAACCAAGTAGCCCTGACAACACGACCAAGTTGCGAAAAAAAGGTCAATTCACTTCTACAGGAATATACTCCAAAGAAATGTATTATCTTTCAGATCAATAAATGATTACATCAGAAATTTGGAAGTATAGAAAAATATTAGCACTGTCTTGTCTATTCTATGATTAACTATATCACTAATGGGTGATACAATCGAAATCATATGTCACTTGACATAATATTTAGGGTCTTTATTGCACTGAGCTGAAGATATAAAATGTATTTGCTTCGGATATTTTAAAAAAATTTATGCATTCATTCTCCTTCCACAAGTTTCTTACTACTTCTAGTTTTATGGATAATGAGTTTTCATTGACTGTTGTGAAGCATATAAACACACACTTAAGGAAATCTAACTTGTTCTCTTACACGAATCTCATTAGTGCAACAATACTTCCTTTCTTTTCTAAATTCTTTATTCATAAAGCTGTAGAAAAGGAAAAAATTTACTATGAACAATTACGCTTGCGGTTCAAAAGATAATTACCTTTATTTTGGTTAGTAAGAGAAACTATATTGTTATTGTGAAACTAATTAGATTTATCTAGGATATGAATTTTATTTTGGGTATTCATGAACCATTACTTGAATGATTCGTGTTTGTTTCCTAGTGAAGAAAATGTGTATCCATGTTATTATCTACTTTAGATATTGGTTCAAGATGAGAAT